GACACCATCCCCATCATCGTTTCTTATAGTACAATAGCATCTTACACATTCACATATTATAACTTGTTTAGCCATTTCCCAGTTGATAGGCATCCACTCAGTTTTCAGTGCTTTGCCATCCTTAAGAGAACTATTGCGAATATTTTTGTATGCATGGATCCTCTTCCTCTTTCTTTGTTTTTTTGGGGGGGGAGGGGTATAGATCCAGTAGCAATATCGCTAGGTCAAAGGATAATGCAGATTAAACTTAAAAATGTGTCTGAGTACAGTTTTTCCCCCCAGAGAGCAAGTTGTTATACATTCAGCAGCATACCCCATGTTTAATTTTTGCCATCCCCATTACTTATTATAAGGCTTGGCCCATAGCAAGGGCTATAAATGAATGAATGAACAAACTGGGGGGGAGGGGATACAAAAGAAACATATGACAGTTATTCTCCCTCGAGAACCTAACTAGATAGGCAGTGGGGTGTAGTGGGAAGATTGATGGACTCAGGGTCATAAGACCTGGGTTTGAGTCCTGACTCTGACCCTTCCTAATGGTGTGGTCATGGGCAAGTTATGTTCTCTCTCTGACCCTCACTTGTAAAATGGGAATAATAGTATTTATACCAGCAACCTCATTCATTATGAAGGAAGCAAGATAAAACCTCAAAGTTCTATGGAATTGTGAATGATGATTGTTCTTCCCACTTGAATATAAGCTTCGAGGGGGTAGGGGCAATGTCTTATCAAGATTCTGCATCTCTCCCAGAGCCTAACAAGCAAGCCTTTAATAAATGTTGAATAAAAAAGAACTTTGAACATGGGAAACAATAGATGACAATAGGGAAATAGGTACTACTGTTGGATGGTGTGGTACAGACCATGACTATCTTAGGAAGTCCCAAAAGGGTGAGGTCACTTTGGGCTGGAGTAATAACAACAATACATATTTCTATAGTTCTTTTTAGAGTGCTTTCTTCACAACCATCTAGTTAGACAGACAGTGAAAGCTATTAGTGATCTCAGCTGAGAAAGCCAATGGCCTCTTCAGCCTCCTTCATCTTCTGTAGCATTTGACACTGTTGACCACTTTCTCCTCACTGACAGTCTACTCTGGGTTTTCATGACAGTTTCATTTCTTGGTTCTCCACCTATTTGTTTGACTTTGTTGTTCAGTTGCTTTAGTTGTTATCCTACTCTCTGTGATCCCATTTGGGATTTTCTTGGCAAAGATATTGGAGTGGTTTGCCATTTCCTTCTCCAGCTCATTTTACAGATGAGGAAACTGAGGCAAACAGGGTTAAGTGACTTGCCCTGGGTCACATAGCTAGTGTCTGAGGCCAGATTTGAACTCAGGAAGGTGAGTCTGATTTGAGCCCACCTAGGTGCCCCCTTGCTACCCTTCTCTTCATCACACTCCATTTACTGCCTCTGTATCCCATGCTCAGAATGTACTTCCTCCTTACCTCTGCCTCTCAGTATTACTGATTTCCTTCAAAACTTAGCTCCCTCTTCCATGTGAAACCTTTCCTCAAACCTCCAAGTAGTTATTGCCCTCCTTCCGAAAATTACCTTGCATTTTTTATATAGTTTGTATATACTTATGTACATACATGTTTAGTGCCACCACCTGCTCCCCAACACCCTCTGCTCTACCCCATATGATCTCCTGGTGGACAGAGACTTTCATTTTTATCTTTGCATCCCCGGGGCCTGGCAGATAGTAGGAGCTTAATGAATACCTGTGGATTGATTGATTGATTGATTATGTCTATCTTACACACAAGAAAACTGAGGTTTTCAGAGGGTAAATGAGGTGCTTATGTTTGAAGCCAAAGTCAAACCCAGGTCTCTTGATTCCAAGCCTAGTACTCTTCCTAATATACCAGACTTTAAGCTGGGATTTGATCTAACTCTTAAAAGATGGACAGGATTCAAAGATGGAGGAATGAGAGCTTTTCAGAGCTGGGAAAACAAATGAAGAAAAGTACAGAGACAGCAAAGAATCAATGTTTCCTAAGTCAAAAACCATTCAGTGAAGGAGATTCCCCAGTCTTCCTCAGATACCTGTCGGAACATTTACCACCCAAATTAAGTCCTGCTATACATCTAGTCTAAATCCCTCCTGCTGCAATCTGCTTTGGTCCTCTACAAGGAGAATGGGAACAGCAGGGTTTTCATCTGCTGGACCCTCATATTACCCTTCAGAGTTCTGCAGACTGTGTTCTGAACATGGGAAAGGTGTGGAGCACTGCCCCCCAAAAGAGCCAAACATCCAGATATTGCCAGAGAAAGTTACAGCAAATCATTTGAGTATGGTCCCTTCTCACACAATATAGACATCTCCCTTCTGTAAGTAGAAAAATATTTTGAAAATTCCCTCAAGATCATGAATTTCAGTTCCTACAACTGTTTCCTAAATGCATGTTTGCCCAGATTGCATGTGTTATATGAGTATGTCTGGGTATGTCTGTTTCCATTCACAGGCTTGGCCAAGTGATCACAGGTGGTCAGTTACATATTCACAGGGTCAAAGATTTAGAGCTGGAAAGAATCTTGGAGCTTGTTTAGTCTCCCTCTCTCACTTTGTAGGTTAGGACACCGAAGTGAAACACCGAAACAATTTGAGCAAGTTCATACAGCTAGTATTGGTGCTGAGATTCAGTCCTGAGTCCTCAGTTTCCAGTTTCCAAATTATCTTTAAAAACTCTTTTAGAACTCAAAATCTTATGTGAGTGTTGAAAACTATAAATAAATTGATTTTTAATAAAACCTCTTTCAGGGGAGGATGATTTCTTCAGTAGGAGCTATGGGGTCAATTTGACAGTCTGAAGCACTGTTAAGTTTCCCTAGGGTTAGTAACGCAGGCCAGAATTTTCCCAAAAGATACTTTAAGATGAGTATTGGAGGGGCAGCTAGGTGGCACAGTGGATAGAGAACCAGAGCTGGAATCAGGAGGACCTGAGTTCAAATCTGCCTCGAGACACATAACACTTACTTAGCTGTGTGACAGTGGGCAAGTCACTTAACCCCATTGCCTAACCAAAAAAAAAAAAAAAAAAAAAAAAAGATGAGTATTGGAAACCAACTGCTAGGATACCAATTTGGAAAATCTACAGAACTCAAAAAATGGTAGAGCTAAAAGGAATCTTAGATATCATAACCTAATTTAAATTTATTGATGAGGAAACTGAAATCCAGAAAGAAGTGACTTGCCAGTGAAACCTAAGTAGTAAGTTGCATAGTTGGCCTTTGAATCTAAGCCTTCCACTTGAACTACCTTTTGAGTACAAAAAAAAAATTCTTTCTACAACCAGAAAGTGCTGGATCTTAGCAAAATTGCAAATTACCTGGCATCCCAGTCTCACCTTTCGGTCTTTTTATTCCCCTTTTAAGGGTAGACAGCACTTATCAGATCAAATCTGTCTACCTCCACCAATGGAATTTTGTATTTTGAAAGATTGTGCAGATAACAACACTTAACCCAAAGGAATGAATCACTAAAGGTAAATTGCTAAAAATGGAATTTTAGGCCCCAGGGACAGGCAGAGAAAGGTAATTTAGAGTCCTGGGACTTTCTAAGACGGGAAAGATCATACCATGTAGTTTACAGCCTGTTCTGCCTAGATCAAAACTTGTTTCTGGGCAGCCCTGATACAACTGAGGTTGCTAAATAGAGAATGGAGAAGATACATGGAGACACAGAAATTCTTTTTCTCTGTGTGAATTAGTCCTGGTTAAGAGCCTTCTTGATATAAAATCAAGGGCAAGTCAGAATCACAAACTATCAGAGCTGGAAGGGAATTTAAGAGATTGTCAAGCCCAGAGAAAACTGAGGTTCACACAGTAGGGAATAGATTTGTTCAAGGTTACATCAGTGGTTAAAGCAAGGTTTAGAACTCAGATCTCCTGACTCCCAAGTCCAGCATATTATTTCCTACTAGCCCTATGCCACAGCTAAAATGCAGTAGTAGAGTGGAAAGAATGTTAATTGGGAATTAGGAGGGACTTAGGTTTAAAACTCAGTTCTGTTACACCGGAACTGAGTGACCTTGGGGAAGTCCCTTTACCTCTCAGACTCATTTTTGTAGTTGTAAATTGGGATAATAATTCTCACAACATCTGGGAGCCTCCATTTCTTCATTTGTAAATTGAGTTAAATACTTTCAATACCTACCTCATAGAGTTTGGAGTAAGGCATTTTGTAAACCTTAAATTAATATACAAATGTGAGATATTATTATTTGCCTATAATTCAATACCCTACTACTCAACAAAAGGCAATTGAACTGAATTCCAAGTGCCTGCTCTATGCAGAACATATAAGGAAGGTAACAATGTTTGACGAAGCCTTCCATCATTGAATAAAGTCCCCATCTCACTTAATTCTCTGAAGCCTTTAACAGAAGAGCTGGAGCTAGGTACCAGGATACAGTGGAATGGGGAGTCCAGATGATATGGGTTCATATCCCAGCTCTGCCGTTTAGTACCTGTGTGACCTTGGGCAAGGCTCTTAGCCACCCTTGTTCTCAGTTTCCTCGTGTGTACAACGAGGGAGCTCGACCAGCTGGCTTCAGAGGTCGCTTCCGCATTTACATCCACGAAGAGGAATAGGGACTGTCTCGGCGATTTTACTGTTACAGAGAGCTCCTTCTACCGTAGCTCGTACCTCCCCTCAAGGAGATCCCAGTGTAATGGGGGAGACATTATGCTATGATGTACAATTATGTATTTGTGTGTGTTTGTGTGTGTGTGTGTGTAAAATGGAAAGTAATCTCAGCGGGAAAGTGTGAGAGAGGGCAAGGGAGGGGGCAAAGAAGGTGCAAGGACTCCTGAAGAAGGTAGGGTTGAGCTGAGTCTGGAAGGAAGTCAGGGTAGCTAGGAGTCAGAGGTGAGGAGGCATCGGGAACAGCCGCTAGTGCAAAGGGGCAGTCGGGGATGGAGTGTAGCAAGTGCTTAATTGCTGCTTGCCATGACTGACAACATAACAACATAGCAGGCGGTTTGAACCAAACTCCGTGTCTCCTCCAGCTCCCAGTACAGGCCTCAGAGACACCCAGTAGGAGCTCAGTCCGTATTTGTTGAGTGCTTGAATTCTGCAAGGGCGGTCCTTCCCATCAGCGCCTTTGGGGCGCTCGGATGGTGGGGTCGGCGGCGGCGAGGGCGGGCAGAGATGTTGAGAAATGTCTTTGGCTCGGCTAGCACTGAGAACGACTTGTCCTTTTACTTGTCTGGTTCCCCTCCCCCGCCCAATTGTCCAGGCCCGCGTCTGAACTTTCCACTGTCGCCGGGCGGAGGAAGCACCAGTCCTAAGGAAAGCGGTATCATTTCCAGCGCCGGGGCTCCGGGGCTCCGGGGCTCTGGCGGCGGCGGCGGCAGCAGCCACTGCGCGGCTCTGTTTACCCAGCGAGGGAGGCGGGCGCAGGGCGAGCCTGGGAGAGGGGCGGAAAGCCGAGCGGGGCAAACAGAGGGGAAGCCCAGCCAAGGGGGAAGGCGCATGGAAAGGGCATTTCCTATTTGTCCCAGCCGCTGCAGACTCTTGTCTCCAAGTCTGTGAGCAGTTCCTCCCGTGATTCATAATCAGCTTGAATTTATAAATAACCCCCACCTAAGGCTAGCGCCTACTCTGAGCGAGAGGGGGAGTCCGGGGGGCGGCTTGGGGAGGGGCGGGCAGGGGGAGAGGGAACAGAAAAGGAAGATAAGATTTTTGGAAATCTGGTTTTCTCCAAAGTGTCTGAGATTTGAGAGGCAGTGCCGCGTAATAGAAAGCCCGCCTGGAGGCCACCAACATTTCTTTGGCCTCAAGTCTTGCCCCCGATACATACTGGCGGTGTGATCCTGGGCAGTCACTTAACATCTCAGTGCTCTAGGTAGCTCTCCAATACGAGATGTTGCAGAGAAGGTGCAGACTTGCATTGGGGGAGGGAGTTTCCTCATCTGGGAGTTGCCTATACTGATGAAATCAGTGGTCCAGGTCCTAGGCACCAGCAATGTACTGGGGTGCACCTTCTCTGTCTAGAGCTGGAATCCCTCATAGGGTCTCGTCTGGTCTAATCCCTTCATTTTGGGATTGAGGAAACTGAGGCCCAGCTGTTTAAATAAGTTGCCCCGCGTCAAACATAAGTAATAAATGGAGGACACAAGATTGCCCTTTCTGCTTTTCCTGTGCTGGGGAAGGAGTTAAACATTTCCCCAAGTCATTGGAAGAGCTGTGCTTGGCAGTCTCCCCCACCCCAATCACTAGCACGGTCTAGGAGGTAATTGAAAGTACGTTAGTGGATTGAGTATTGAATTTAGAGTCGCAAAATGTATTTTGCCTCAGACCCTTACGGGTAGCATGACCCTGTACTTAACTGCTCTCAGCCTTAGTTTCCTTATCTGTAAAATGGGGATAATAGCAGCACCTATCTCAGGGGGTTCTTGTGTGGATCAAATGAAAATAACATGTGAAACCCTTTGCAAATGTTAAAGTGCTATGTAGATGCTATACTAATAATATTTAAATAATTAAGTAAAATTAAATTATTGTTAGGATGAGAAGTTGTGATGCTGGGTTTTTCTGTGTTAAGGCTAAGGTCTTTAGAGATAGGAATCCTTGAACTGAGAGTAGGTGCCCCTGGGTTCAGGGTTCCCCACTCCCTCAATCTGTCTTTGATTTAATGTGGGAACTCAGCTAACTCTTAATTTCTCTGGGATTTAGCCCCACTATCTGTGAAATGGGGATAATGACCTCCGAGCTCCCCCTCCTAATCTACCATTGGGTATAGAGCAGGATTTGGGACTGGAAAGCAGGATGTTTCCAATTTAGCCTGGGCATTCAGGATCCCAGACGACAAACCAGGAAAAAGTATTTCCTTTGTCAGTCCTAGGATGGAAAAAGAGCCAACTGGCTAAGTTTGGTTTCCTTTGCATTTTGTATGCAGCTTGAAGACAGGGTCTCAACAATCCCCATATGCAGGTTGTTGCTTAAGAATAGACTTTCTTTTCTGCTTACTAGATCAGAACTTATCCTCTTTCCCCCTTTCAGCCACCCCCATTCCTTCCACTTGCTTCCCCTTCTCTACTACCCTATTTCCACCATTCTGTGTGTCCTCTAGGCTTGAAATCTTTGAGGTAAATAATTTTTGACTCCTTTTTCTTCTTCATTCAGGGCACTGAGACCCGTAGATTTTCCTTAAAAACTTATTCTAATTTCCCCATCTTCTATCCTTTCTATTCTCACTTCTGCCACCCTGTTATAGGTCCTAATAATCTCTCCCTTGTATTATGGTAATGACCTGGTTGGTTTCTTCTACCTAACTGGTCTTTTCCATCTCTATTCCAAGCACCAGATTAATCTTCAAGTTTATTTCCAATCATATTCATTACCTTGCCCAAGCCTTCTGTGACTCAGGATTACTTATAGAATTAATTCCATATATGTATATGCATATGCATATATGTATACATACATATATTCATATATGTCTCCCCCAAATTTTTCAAATCATATCTCCCACTGCTGTGTTCCATATAATCTTATGTTCCAGTAAAGCTGTAATTCTCATTATCCCCTGAAGTGTCTGTCTTTCCTGCTCCACTCACCCCAAATTCTGCTCATGTTATTTGACACAATTATTTCCCTGTACTTCTGCCTCTCAAAATTCTACCCATGAGCCTGAGCATGGGTGTATGAGCACTTCCATGAAGACTTCCAAATCTATTTCTCTTCTCCACCCATGTTCACTCCTTCCTCTGAGCCCCCATAACACCTTGTGCCTCAACCCATTTTGTCTTGTCTTGTTTTCCCCTACTAGGTGGCTCAGTGGCTAGAGAGCTGGGCCTGGAGTCAGGAAGACCTGAGTTCAAATCCGGATTCAGACACTCACTAGCCGCTGACTCTGGGCAAATCACTTAATCCCTGCCTAAATCCATGAGAGAAGGAAATAGCAAGCCACTGCAGCATGTTTGCCAAGAAAACCCCATGGATAGTATGGTCCACAGGGTCATGAAGAATCAGACAAGATTGAATGACAGTGCATTCCTCTACTAGACTGTAAGCTTTTTGATGGCAGGAACTGTGTTGCTTATTTTTGTACCCATAGCTCCAGCATGGTGCTCTGCTCATAACCCAAACTTAGTAAATGTTTGTATAATGGGAGGACCGGCTAATGAGGACCCAGCCCTTAGAGCAGACATTCTCTACTTGCTTTCAATCCAACCACGTGGAACCTTTGGGGAGCCAGTTTCCAGCCATAATGACCCAGGCTTTAGGAATGTGTGATGATGAAAAATCTAATTGGCTTTAGAGCCAGAAGAACTAATGACTCAGGAGGGGTTGAGCTGGAACTGAGTCTGCATACAATAGGGACTGCTCAACCATTTCCCAATTTCTTTCCTTGGTAGCTTAGAGTGAGAAAGAGTACTTAGAAGTGGTTCTGAGCTGCCAAGGGGAAGAGGGGAAGCAGCTAGCTGAATTCCCCCACTCTGCCCCATGTGTCTCTAGGCTCACATAGGAGCCCCTATTTCTCTGTGTTTATTCTTTCCTGATCTTAAGCAAATGAATGCTCTGATTGGAGAATGGCCAGGAATGTGAGTTCAGGAGATCCCTAAGTCACAGCAGAGGTCTCTCCCCTTAGCCTCAGCAGAGGACACTGGAGCTGGGAACAGTGCAGAAATGCCTTGAGCATCAACCTTGAGATGAGTGTGCCAAGGTAAGGCAGCGATCTTCCGAGCCCAGCACAGTCTGGAGAGGCCGTAAGAAGACCAATGGCTTCTTCCTCTCCCTTGGTATCCAAATGTAAGAGGGAGAAAGATTACCAGTGGCAATGGGAAAGTAGCCCTAGCCTGGCCCAGCAGCAGACAAGGCTCAGCTCACCCCAGCCCAGCAGAGGATTGTTCAGCAGAGATGCCATTGTCTTCTAGAAGAAAACCTCTCTAAGCATCAGAGCAAGTATTCAGCTACCACATCTACCTGGCCCCTCAACTTCATGAGGATTCTGTGCAGGGAGAAAGGTTTTCCTGGGCCAGGAGTCAGGAAGTACCCTTTACTATATGTGTTCTCTCCACGTGTGCTTGACTACCATTGTACCCACCCTCTAACCCCTTACCTTCCTTATTTATTATAAGGGCAACATCATCCTTTCAATCCCTGAGGCTTGCAACCTAGGAGCCATCCTGGACTCCTCATTATTAATCATCATCTCATATTTAAGCAGTTGCTAAGGTCTGCTGATGTCACCTATGCAAAATCTCTCTCCTCTTGACATTGCCTTAACTCTAGTGCTGGCCCTCATCACCTCACACCTTGATTACTGCAATAGCCTGCTGGTGGGTCTGCTTGCCCAGAACCTCTCGCTATTCCAATCCATCCTCCATTCAGCCACTAAAGTGATTTTCCAAAAATTCAGGTCCAACCATCATCCCCCCCCTCAAAAGAAAAAAACAAAACTCCAAAACTTTCTGTTGTCTCCAGGAACAAATACAGCATCCTCTATTTGGCATTCAATGCCCTTCATTACCTAACCTTCTCCTACCTTTCCAGTCATCTTACTCCCCAACATGCACTCTTTGATCCAGTGACATGCTGCCTCCTGGCTGTTCCAGGAACAAGACTCTCCATCTCTCTGCTCTGGGCATTCCCTCTGGCTGTCAGCCAGGCCTAGAACACTTTCCCTCACCCACTCAACCCTGGCTTCCTTTAAGTCTCAGCTAAAACCCTACCTTCCAAAAGAAGCCGTCTCCAACCCCTCTTAATTCCAGTGCCTTCCCTCTGTTAATTATTTCCTATTCATCTTGCACATAGCTTGCTCTGTATATATTTGTTTTCATGTTATCTCCCCATGAGATTGTAAGCTTCTCAAGGGCAGAGACTGTATTTTGCTTCTTTTTGTATCCCTAGCACTTAGCGCAGTGCCTGGCATATAGTAGGTGTTTAATAAATGTTTATCCATCCATTGATTGATTGCAGAGGAAGTGTGTGCTCTTGACATTTTTGGGAGGAAAGTGTTTTGTAATAACTCTATGTTCTCAGTAAATTCCTTTTCTTAAGGCTAAAACAACTGGTTGATTGTAAATGGGGGACCTCTGACCTCTACTGCTAACCCAGGTGGCAATTTAGGACCAGCTCAAAGTACTCCTTACTCTAACCACCAAGGAAAGAAACTGAGAGATAGGAGAATTTCCCCTTTTGTATGCAGGCTTAGAGGTCAAGTCCTGGGTCATCAGTTCTTTCTCTGAAGTCACTTAGAAGAAGGCTTTCAACTGTCCTTGCCCAGTCCCAACCATGGCTGAGTCACCATGGCTCTCCAGTTACCTCATGGCTGGATTGGAAGTAAGAGACAGGTTTGAATACTTTCACTTCATTTTTAGCCATGGTGGACAGAGAAGTTGTGAGAAATAATGGCGACAGGACTGGATTGTAATTAGAGGGTATGGATTGCATCCTTGGCTCTCTACTCACTCTCTGTGTAACTCCGGGCAAACTACATATCCTCTCTGCGCCTCAGTTTCATCGAGGAGTTTGGACAAACTGATATTTAAGTCCCTTCTTTTTCAAGGTCTATGATAGTATGATATCTAAAAATCCCTTCCAACTCA